CGTGAATCTATTCCTAAGGAAGGTTTACTTAAAATATATACACCAGCTTAGAAAAATACCTACAACTAATAAAGACTATTCACAGACAAAAGAACCTGACTTATCAGAACTTGATATACAAGCACTAAAAGATCTAGAAGATCTTTTAGAGGAAAACACCCTCTTCCAGGATCCCTCAGAAATACCGATCAAAAGGACTACTCCCCTAAGGAAAGGATCAAAAACGATGCCCAATTTCTTAAACAATAGATATCTGGCCCTATTTAGAGAATTAGTACAAAAAGAACTTAAACAAGTTGACTGGACAATAAGAGATACATCAGAGAGGGAAGCTCTGAAAGAATTGAGAGAAACCCCGGGGATAGTTATAAAAAGTAGTGATAAAGGAGGGAATGTGGTACTCCTCCCGGAAGAGCTATACGTAAAGGAAGTGAGGAGACTTTTAAATGATAAGAATATCTATATTAAACTAAAGGAATCCCCTTTCAAAATGATAGTTAATATTTTTAATAATAAGGTGAAATTAGCTCTGGAATCAGGTTTACTCACAAAGAATGAATTTCATTTTCTTAAAACAGATAATTATAATACCCCAACCTTTTATATTTTACCGAAAATTCATAAAGATCCGAATAATCCGCCGGGAAGACCCATAGTCTCGGCTTTGGGAGGGCCACTTGAAAGTATGGGGAGATATCTGGATTCCCTTTTGAAAGACATGGTTTTACGGTTGCCCTCCTACATCCGAGACACAAAAGATGTACTAAATAGAATAGACGACCTGGTGATACAAGAGGGCTCCTTGCTCGTTGGGATTGATGTAGAATCACTCTACACGTCAATCCCTCACGAATGGGGATTAAAAGCCATAACACATTTTCTTGACGTACATTTTCCACTAATGGCATCCCAGAATGAGTTCATTATAGAACTCTTAGATTTTGCTTTACACAATAATTGTTTTCAATTTTTAGGAACTTTCTTTAAGCAAATTAGGGGCACATCAATGGGTGCCCCTTGGGCACCATCATATGCTTGTCTCCACCTTGGTTTGTGGGAGGAGGATCTGGTGTATGGACATCCCCTATACCTGAGCCACGTGAAAACGTGGCTCAGGTATATTGATGACGTATTGGTGGTCTGGGACGGCAATGCAGACCTCCTGACATCCTTTATAGAAGATCTAAATATGAACAATAGGAATTTAAAATTCACGTATATCTGGAGCGATTTAAAACTTGCTTTTTTGGACTTATCCATAGAGATTAAAGACCATAGATTAATCACCAGTACATATAGAAAGAAAACCTCCGCGAATACACTCCTACATGCAACGAGCCATCATCCCCTTCCCCTGAAGCAAGGGATTCCAACAGGTCAGTTTCTAAGGATAAAACGCAATTGCAGTGAACACACTGAATACCTGAGGGAGTCCAAAGATCTATACAAACGCTTCAGGGAAAGGGGATACCCACATAAAATTATAAAAAGGAGTAAAATGAAAGCTAACCAGAAAACAAGAAAAGATTTATTGAAAACTAAAGAATACACAACAGAGCCCCAAAAAAATGGAAAAAATAATTATACACGCATAATAACAAAATATGGGTCTAATTGGGAAAAACTCAGAGAAGTACTCACGAAGCACTGGCATGTATTGGATTTATGTCCACTACTATCCAATATAGTGCGACCGAGACCCCTACTCACGGCACGTCGCTCAAAAAATCTGAAAGACAGTTTAGTAAATTCTGAATTTACACCTACTCTGTCAAAACAAACCTTCCCTGGAAAAAAAGAGACCCAAAGGTATGTACCCCTGTGGAGGGTGTCACATCTGTCCCTATATAGACAAAACAAAAACCTTCAGGAACTCGGAAAACACCAAAACCTTTAAAATCGTGAGTTTCAATAACTGCAATTCCAGTGAGGTTGTATATGCAATCGAATGTCCATGTCATAAACTTTATGTAGGCAAAACTAAAAGACAACTAAAAACACGAATAGGCGAGCACCTAAATGATATTAGGAAAAAAGAAGCAGACAGCCCCCTAGCCCAACACTTTGCTGAATATCATAAAGGGACCCCCGATGGACTCAAGGTAAAAGCCATTTATGTACTAAAAATTTCCCCACGAAGAGGGGATTTTGACAGGATTTTACAACAGCGGGAGAAGATGTGGATCTATAGAATGAATACAATGTTACCGGCGGGTCTCAACAATGAGTGTAACCTGAATGTATTCCTATGAGGGAGAATGAGTTTAATTTACGGTATTGTAGATCCACACCTTCCCCAGTAAAGGAACTAAACACATAGTGGTGAACTTCTTTGAGAACATCAATTACATCATGTATAGGTTGAAAATGGAGTGCATATTCGGCTGTGTAGATAAACAAATAAGAATGTCTTTTATTTTATTTTTAATTTGTATCTAAGTAATGTCCGATATAGCTGATCATAATTTAAATTTAGAAAGGGTTAAACTGCAATCCGGAACTAACAACCAATGAACCGGAAAGCAAATGGGATGCATACTTGAGTATTTAAGAGCAAACCTCCCAGTCCATAACCCATGTCCTGACGAAGCCCCGTAATATGGGAGGGGCGAAACGCGTCGACAGATGGTGATCAGACGCAAAGACATCATCCTGTAGACGGATCTCTTACCTCAAACCCTTCACTCTTTGAAAAAATAACCCCTAAGATATTCGAAATAAGGCTACGGCTGCCTGTTTAAGGATTTGTTCATTCCCTCCTTGAGATTGAGGAGAATCTCGGAGTTCCATTGGACAATAATCGGTTCCTAACTCTATTTCTGGAGACGAACTTTTCCAAACCGACACACTCCCCAAAGAAATGGAACATACACCCTCGTGACTGGACCACTGGATCAGAATCGTTTGGACCCTGAGAAACTCCAATAACGTGAGTGATTGAATTATGCTACATATGTCCGTCTAGGACACTGTTTTACAAGATAATCCTTACATCACTTTGAAGATAAAGAAAAATGATCTGTTGTTCAAGGGAATTATAGTCCAATACAGTGACAGTTCGTCCCTAAAATGACCACCTATCTCTCTTTTTCTCCCTAAACAAAGGAACAGTTACACGGTTGATTAATCCTAAGTGGTCATAGTTCATTATTCTCCCCACACTTCCAGGTGTCATTGTAATATATCCCCCCCACTTCCAGGTGTCATTGTAATATATCCCCCCCACTTCCAGGTGCCATTGTAACCAGATCATCAATGTTATTCCCTTCACCTGTCAGTGGTCAGAATGTTATGGCTGATCGGTGTACTTGGCCATTCTATGTTGGCTCCGCCCATTTACACTGAGCTACAACATAAGCGCTTTTTCAGCGCTGATTTGAGCGCCATTGAGCGCCAGTGCACATTTTGTCACACTACGTAGTGCTTCTTTTGGCAGTCTATCAAAGTCTATTGGGGCCAAATTGCTCGAAATGTTTGAGGGATTTTTGAGCAGAAAGTGCGTTCGGAAACGCTCCGTGTGAATGGGGTCGCAGTTTTGTGAAGGTGAGCAACAGAAGAGAAATGGCAAAATGGATCAGTTTTTATCTACAGTTCTAGATGTTTTGACTAGGATATTGGTGATTGATCACAAAGCCCGGAGCTGCAGCGCTGTGCATGGATTGTAAGGGAAGACTGCCCCTAGTGGCTGAACACAAAATCATACCAACAAATATTTGATTTCATTGTCTTATATAAAATATGTGATGTGACGAAAGCCTCCAGATCTTCCCGGATGGCAGAACATCATTATTATTATTTGTCTTGGCTTATACAGGTCATCATATAAAAAGTATCCAAACCCAACAAAAATGTAATATATTGCCGCTTACCAGTCCTTACATATGGCGGCTGCACTAGTTTTCTTTTTTTTTTTCAGGCTTTTTTTTCCCCTTGATTTCCACCTGGTGATCCTGCCAGTAACACATTTCCTGTCGGCTCACTATACTGAATCTATGGAGGAGCAGTGTTGTTAATAGAGTTAGAATTACAGAGCGCCTTCCTCTCTCCTCATCTCCATTCCATAGGGCAGAGGTCTTCCGTAGTCACCACACCTGGCATACCAACGGGGCCCCTGGCAGCCAGTGACATCAGTGAGCTGGGTGGGTTTGGACAGAGAGCTGCTGACAGCGTGGCTTTTTTTTCCCCCCCGCCCTTTCCCCAGCACCCGCGAACCCCCCTCGGCTCTACTGCCTCAGGTGGCATATAGGGTAGGGACGGCCATGTGCTGCACAAACTGTTGGCGCTATATACGCTGAGTGGCCGGATTATGTAGGCAAATGAGCTATAATTTGGCGCTGAAGTTGCTAGAGGGTCAGACCATTATAAATAGGGAAGCGGGTTGGTTACCACGACAGTAGAAGTGATTTGTTTCTGAAGATACGGGGAAACAACGCGATGTAACAGCCTTTGAACGCGGGATTATTGTTGGCGCTCGGAGCCATGGAGCGAGTATCAGCAAAACAGCAGAATGCGTTACATGTTCAAGAGCAGCTGTTGTTAAAGTGTTTAAAGACCGGACTGTCAGCCGAAAATCTGGGTCTGAACGTGGGAATTGTGGCCGTCAGCGACTAGTCAATGTTAGGGCAGAACGGGGGAGGGGCAAGACTCGTACAAGACAACAGAAGGGTAACAGTGCCGTGTCAGATTCCTCGCATCACCTTTCATCATCCCGTGGAGTCACGAGGCGGCACAACGAAGTACTGATGGGGTGGTCATAATAATCTGGCCACAAAAATCTGCTGCCATCAACTACTTCTTTATGAAAATGCTAATTGCCTGTCTGTCTGTCTCTGGTTTTAATACTCTGGGTCACTTTTCTGGTACCAGCATGCATATAAAGTCAGGGTTTAGTCAGGACTCCTGATCTGCATACTTGTTACAGTGCAGAATGTCGTACAACAGCCAGGCAACCAGCGGCCATTCATTTCCTTTAAGAGGCAGAGATCGCAGTAACCGATGTCAGCTCGCCATCCCTTTGCATTGTGCCCGAGCTGCGTCTGTTAGGAAAGTCCAGTGTGTCCGGCCAATGCTCAGCCTCATAAGAGGCACGAGTAGGGGAACCTTGGGAAGGGTATGACATCCTTTATGTTGTCAACTCCCAGGATGCACTGCAAGTAGCGTTCAAACCCCATGCCGAAACCACCGTGCGGGACGGACCCAAATTTGCGCAGATCGAGGTACCTATTTAAAGAAATGAAAATACAGTTCAGGTGCAAAGTGAACGGGGTGCATTTATAAAGAGTTTGCAGAGCCGCTCGCTCTGCGAAACTGACCTTTACATTTGCTCTGTGCGAATGGTTTCTCGTGCAGAACGAATGTGCTTGTCGGGGAAATATCGCGTTAGGGCTCATTCACATAGGCCAGCACATGCATGAGGAGACCTTGTCCCGGGCTGCGTTTAATTTACATGCAGCAGCCCTTAGGGATGCACCGATTATTCGGCCGCCGAAACATATCGGCCTATACATCGGCGCATCCCTGCTTTTTCTCCTCCCTGCTGGGCGCTGCTCTGTGTCCCAGCCGGGAGGAGGGAAAGTGACAGCCGGCCAAGCGCTGCCGGAGGAGAGCGCTGTGAGCGGCCGGTGTCTCTCCTCCCACACCGCTCAGCCTCCTAACACAGTCCGGCAGGGTGGTGTGTGGGCGGAAACAGCCAGCGCTGTCACAGGAGGCTGAGCTCTCCTCCCCGCACCGCTCGCTCAGCTTCCTGTGACAGCGTGTCAGGATAGAGAGCGGGTACAAGCAGTCGGTGATCGCTGGGTGTTTGTAGATAATTGAGGACATGGTATGGTTACTCTATCCTCAATTATGAATGAATGGGAAGTGATCTACATCACATCGACATCACTTCCTGTTCATTCATGATTGTGGATATAGTAACCATACTCTGTCCTCATGTTATGAATGATCAGGAACACTCAGTATAGAGGATTCCTGTTCATTGATAACGGGGGATACAGAAAAAGAGATTGAGGACTCTGTGTTCTCTGAGGACTTTGTGTCCTCAATCTCTTTTTCTATTTTAAAAGGGAAATATCAGGGGTCTGTTTAGACCCCCCAATATTTCCCCAAAGCCCCTAAAAGTAAAATAAAAAATAGAAAAATTTAATAAAAAATGAATAAAAATAAATACTAAAAAAAAATTAAAAAAGTTTATAAAAAATAAAATGTTTAAAAATGTAAATAAAAACATTTTCGGTTTCGGTGCACCTCTAGGGAGGACGCGGCTGCACACGCCTACACGCCAACTCAAACCCGCACTTCTGTACAGGTCTGGGTGCCCACACTTGGATGCACACAGTCTGCTTCCAGGACCTGCATGGATGTGCAGCTTTGGGACGGCATGTAGCCGTGTCTTGGCATAGTGAGGCACCCCTGCCTCCCCCACCCATGTCACCCAAGAAGAGGACGCCTGAGGCATCCGCCCCAGGCTGCCTTTTTATTGGGACGGCCCTGACTATGGGTTCCTGCAGTTTGCTTTAGCTCTTGTAGTGTTTACTATAATAAAAGATTTGTTGTGCGTTACGTTATTTCCACTTACCACTGGTATGTGTCGGTGAGTCCTAACCTGTAATTTAAAAGAAAAAATAAAAGTAAATAAATATAAATTCACATTTTTCAGAGAGAATATGAAAAAAAAACCAAATCGCCAGGTCATTCCATCAGAACTGGACGAGATAACGAATAATATTTCACTTTTTTTTTAACTAATCTCTTGTTTTGTAAAAAAACATTTTTATTAAAAAATTAAAAATGTTTTTTCCCCCCCTGTTTTGACCATTTATTTTATTTTTTTACTGTCATTAAAAAGCATACATTTTATTCCATAATTTGTCCCACTTAAAATGACAGTAAAATACGGTTTCTGTTACTTAGCATAGCAGTTATTTACAAATTAATTTTTTTTTGCTATGCAACACTGAAAAAAATATATAACAAAAATGAAAAAAAACATACATAAAATGGTAAAAAATTTAAAATAAAATAATTTAGCAGGAAAAAAAAAAAAATTAGAGTAGAAGGGAAGGAAGGCGTTAATTAGGGCTGATTAGGATTAAAGTGACATTGAAGTCAAAAAATGTTTTCCCTCCCCCCAATGTTAGTGTAAGCACTTACCTTAAATGATGTCTCTTAATTCGATCTTTTTCTTCCTTCCTGTTCTTTACATCCGTCCCTCCAGCGCTGCGGCGGGTGTCTGATCCAGCAGCGACTCCTCTGTCCTTGCTGGCACTTCCTGTCCCACGGTGTCTGCATGCGGGTGCACGCCGTCCATAGACTTACCTTCTGTCTCTCCTCGTCTCCCGCCTGAAAATCCGAACTGCGCATGCGCCCGACCCAAGATGCTTTGCGGCCGCCCGAGAATTTCCACATTTTCGGACGGGAGCGCGCGGGGAAAACACGGGTAAGTATTGACCTCTTTTAAAGCTTTTAAAAAAAAAAACTTTTTGCATATATCTACTGCTTGCTAGCAGTAGATATATGCAAAAACAAAACAAAAACGGAGGCTTTAATGATACTTTAACTGAGGGAACAAATTCATTTTATTAAAAAAAACATTTAAGTTAAGTTCTTTAACTGATGTCATAGGCAGATCAAATGTCATACCTTGATCTACATATGAACAAAGTTGTAAAAAAACCCCAAACAAATGAAAGAATGCATTGTTACATTTTAACTAATTTACTCAATGACACTTGAAGACCATCTGCAGGTGTCATTTTACACAGGAGGCTGTAAAATGACAGCCGCTCCTGCTGTGTAATAAAAATAAATTCTCAGCTGTCATTTTGGCAGCCGGTAACAGCAGCAAGGGGAGAGAAGCTGAACATAAAAGATGCGTCCTAAGAGCTTTGTTGACAAAATTTAGGAAATGTCTCTTATGTTCAAAATCCTCAAGTGGTAAATTTATGGTAGACTGCCTTATCACAATGCCTTTCACCACTCACCTACTGTAAAGATACAGAGAGATGGTGGATGCTTATTTCTGGAGTGACTATTTAAAACGTCATTCCAGAAACCACCCTCGTCCACCCTCGTCCGGCCAATGCGCCCAGCTCGCAGGCACTGCATTTAGTTTGCATGGGCCCTCACGGCTGCATCATTGACACACTATACATTTAACTGTATGAATTCACCCGCTGGTCCTCCCGGCCTATGTGAAGTGAGCCCAGGACCAGAGGGTCCCCAGTTCCTGCAAGACGATATTGTCCATATGTAAACTTTATTCTGAATGATACACATGCAACAGGTTCACTTTAAACTGCACAAGCGTGAATGGGCCCTAAAGCACACTGACACATCCTGATACTCTGCATCCATGTGGGCGGTCCATCCCATCTGCAGGAAGACTGTGCTGCCATGAAGTGGCTTCTGTGCTATATTTATCTCTGGTTCAATTCATTTAATATAACTTTATTAGCTTCCCAAATCAGAGCCAGCTGATGAGCGTCACATGTGCTCTGTGTGCCATGCAGGAGGAATCTATTAGGGAACAGCTGAAGGGCCGTGCACACAAACTTCTGGAGACATTTTATGGGAATACTTGTGTCTGGAATCAGAGAGACAGAGATAAGTAATTAGGGGAAGACTCAACACTTCCTGCGAGCAGAGGACAGCTGTCTATTGTTACACTATACAGCCAAATGTCTGAGGACACCTGGCTATCAAACCTTGTTGAACATCTTATTCCAAAACCATAGATATATATATATATATATATATTCACTGGGTCCCTCTGTTTGCCGGCTATAACAACCTCCACTCTCCTGGGAAGGCTTTCTACAAGAATTTGGAGTACGTCTGTGGGACATTTAGCCAAAAGAGTATTTGTGAGGTCAGGTACCGATGCTGGATGAGAAGACCTGGCTCCCAACCTGTTTTCCAGTTCATCCAAAAGATATTCAGTAGAGTTGAGGTCAGGTAGTGATGTTGGACGAGAAGACCTGGCTCCCAACCTGTCTTCCAGTTCATCCAAAAGATGTTCAGTAGAGTTGAGGTCAGGTACTGATGTTGGATGAGAAGACCTGGCTCCCAGCCTGTCTTCCAGTTCATGCCAAAGACATTCAGTTGGGTTGAGGTTTGTGGACACCTGGCCTTCAAACCTTGTTGAACATCTTATTCCAAAACCATAGAGATATATATATATATATTCACTGGGTCCCTCTGTTTGCCGGCTATAACAACCTTCACTCTCCTGGGAAGGCTTTCTACAAGAATTTGGAGTATGTCTGTGGGACATTTAGCCAAAAGAATATTTGTGAGGTCAGGTACCGACCGATGTTGTATGAGAAGACCTTGCTCCCAAGCGGTCTTCCAGTTCATCTCAAAGATGTTCAGTAGAGTTGAGGTCAGGTAGTGATGTTGGATGAGAAGACCTGGCTCCCAACCTTCCTTACAGTTCATCTGTAAGATGTTAAGTTCTGTTGAGGTCTGTGGACACCTGGCCATCAAACCTTGTTGAACATCTTATTCCAAAACCATGGATATCAATATCCAGTTGGTCCCTCTGTTTGCCGGCTATAAAACCTCTACTCTCCTAGGAAAGCTTTCAACAAGAATTTGGAGTATGTATGTAGCCAAAAGAGTATTTGTGAGGTCAGGAACCGATGCTGGAAGAGAAGACCTGGCTCCCAGTTCATCCCAAAGATGTTCAGTAGGGTTGAGGTCAGGGCTCCATGTAGGACACTTGAGTTCCTCCTCACTAAACTCATCAAGCCATGTCTTTATGGAGCTTGTTGAATACACAGGGGCACAGTCATGGTGGAACAGAAAAGGACCGTCCCCCAAACTGTTGTCATAAGGTTGGAAGTGCCGAGTTGTCTGAAATGTCTTTGTAATTAGGGCTTCCTCTGCACACCTTTCCTGGGGAAAATGACATATGGGAATAACTGGGTGCTATGCATCCAGACTGGAGTAAAGCTGGCCATGCACTGTACGAATTCCTGCTGGTTCTTGATGAACCGTCCGAAAATTCATTCAGTGGGTGGCCCCGTCCCCTCCTTTCTGTACAGCATCCTTCGAGCCGATTGGAAATGTTTCCGCCGTACAGTGATGTCAGCAAATCAGCTGGTGGTAATAGTGGCGGGGGTGGGGGGAAGCACTGAATATAAGGAACGCATCCTAAAAAACTTTGTTGAAGTTTTTTTAGGATGTATCTCTTATGATCAAAACCCTCAACTTTTTGTGCAAGTGGAAGAATGCCGACACAAATCATAAGAGGCTCGTTCAAACATACAACTTTCTCATTTACTCCCCAACATTCTGTCTGCGGTTGACTGAAGCCGTTACCTGTCAAGACGTGACTGCAGGATGTGAAGTCTCTCCTCTCTCAGACTGCCCCCAAACAGCTCCCCTATTCCTGGAACCAGAAGATCCACTGCGGACGCCTGAAGAAGAGAGAACAAACCATCTTATAAAAGAAAGGATTTTGATATGCGAACACTTTATACCCTTCCAGGTGCGAGTTAAAAGGTCAAATGGCACCAGTAATGATGTTATTCATATTCAATAGGTTTATGTCATCTTTTAGTGGTTTGTATTGGGGTTCTGAGCTCTATCAGCAGAATGTTTCTAAATTCCTGCTATGAATGGATGCGTCTGTGTTTGGGGCAGAGACTGAACACATACACCGAGCAGCCATAACATAATGACCACTGACAGGTGAATAACATTGATGATCTGGTTACAATGACCCCTGGAAGTGGTGGCGATATATTACAAATGGCACCTGGAAGGGGGGGGGGGGATATATTACAATGGCACCTGGAAGGGGGGGGTGACACTGCTCAAACCAATAGCGCAATCTCTCTTACGTGACATTGCTGGGACCCAACGACATTGCTCTTACATGGCACTGTTCAGATCTAGTGACAGCACTCTTATGTGACACTGCTCAAACCTAGTGCATTTGCTGTAACAGGACACTGCTCAGGACCTAGCGACATTGCTCTTAGGTACTTAGGGTCTGGGACCTAGGGTCTGGGACCTAGTGACAGTACTTCTAGCGCAATCGCTCTTACGTAACACTGATGGGACCTAGCGACATCGCTCTTGCATCACACTGCTTGCACCTAGCGACATCTCTCTTACATCGCACTGATGGGACCTAGCGACATCGCTCTTGCATCACACTGCTTGCACCTAGCGACATCTCTCTTACATCGCACTGATGGGACCTAGCGACATCGCTCTTACATCACACTGATGGGACCTAGCGACATCTCTCTTGCATCACACTGCTTGCACCTAGCGACATCTCTCTTACATCGCACTGATGGGACCTAGCGACATCTCTCTTACATCGCACTGATGGGACCTAGCGACATCTCTCTTACATCACACTGATGGGACCTAGCGACATCTCTTACATCACACTGCTGGGACCTAGCGACATCTCTTACATCACACTGATGGGACCTAGCGACATCTCTCTTACATCACACTGATGGGACCTAGCGACATCTCTCTTACATCACACTGATGGGACCTAGCGACATCTCTCTTACATCACACTGATGGGACCTAGCGAAATCTCTTACATCACACTGATGGGACCTAGCGACATCTCTTACATCACACTGTTGGGACCTAGCGACATCTCTTACATCACACTGCTGGGACCTAGCGACATCTCTTACATCACACTGATATTATATCTCTCTATTTCTCACCTCCCAGTGACACTCCTGGCACAACCATTATGAAGGGGGTCTCACTCAACCTGTTTGATTAGTTATAAAGAACGGAAGGGTAGTGAGAACACCCAAACATGACAGCAAGAATCCCTGCCTATAACTGCATCTTTACCATTGGGTGGGCTGCCCCTTTAAGATGGGACCTCCTTCTTTGCTGCACCCTTGTCGTTCGCCTTAAAAGGACTTTACATGGAAGCAGGTTACACCAAAACACTGGTATAACCTGCTCAGGATTCTGTCATTCATTTTCATTTCTCAGTCTTCCATCCATCTTAAAAATAGAATGTAGAAAGAGCCTGAGGGGAAGCGTGAGGGATTGTTTCAACAGAATTGAAGCGTCGAGTATGGCCACACTGGTTAAGTGTGTGGTAATTAGAAGCATGCATGTGCTAACCAAACAGGAAACACAGCCAAACTGGGCTGCAACTAAATCACAAATCTCCAAACTACAACGAGCGCTTCACAGTGTCTACATCATTCAAAGCCGAGGTGTGATCTGCTCATATGTTGTCTTTGCTGGTCCCTGGTCCACCCCCCATATCAACATGCTAATCAAAAGTTTTGGGCAACTGCAGGCATGATTTGAAATCCATTTAGCCTGAGCCGGCGCCCTTACCTACTGAAGGACCCACCGGCCTTCACTTATGCAGAGAAGGACCCCAATGTCATGTAAAGCTGTCCTAAATGACTGGCAGGCGTTTTAAAAGGGCAGCCTTATGCAGCACAGAGGTCCATCCCCTGCGTTTGTGGAAGCCGGCAGTTCCTGTAGGTGCCGCTGGTCTTATGGCAGGAGGATGCATTTTGTGCAGAATGTACCTTCCTTGCTATTGCCGGTGTTGTATCTTGACACGACAGTGGGAATTAGGCAAAGTAGGTACCTGCATGACTCCCCTCTAAGGAGGAAGCTTGTAGGCACATGCATACTCTGCCTAATGGTAAATCTGGCCCTGGTGATGACATCACTTTTAGGACGCTATGTACAGCACCCCACTGTCCCCTCCCACCAGCAATGATCTGCCTGTATTACATGGAGAAGAATAGACACACAGTGATGACTGGTGCCGGATTTCCACCTGTAGGCATGAATTGAAATCGATTTAGCCTGAGTCGGCGCTCTTACCTGTTGCAGTAACCCGCCGGCTTTCACATATGCAGAGAAGGACCCCAGCGTTGTGTAAAGCTGTCCTAAACGCCTGACAGGCCTTTTAAAGGGCAGCCTTATGCAGCGCCGGGGTCCATCCCCTGTGTTTGTGGAAGCCGGTAGTTCCTGTAGGTGCCGCTGGTCTTATGGCAGGACGATGCATTTTGTGCAGAATGGATCCTCCTTGCTATTGCCGGTGTTGTATCTTGACACAAAACTGGAAATTAGGCAGAGTAGGTACCTGCACGGCACCCATCTATGGAGGATGCCTGTAGGCACATGCATACTCTGCCTAATGGTAAATCTGGCCCTGGTGATGACATCACTTTTAGGACGCTATGTACAGCACCCCACTGTCCCCTCCCACCAGCAATGATCTGCCTGTATTACATAGAGAGGAATAGAGACACAGTGATGACCAGGGGCGGATTTCCATTTTGGGCAGCTGCTTCTGTGTGTCTACATCATTTAAAGCGGATGTATGATCTGCTCATCGTTTGTCTTTGATGGTCCCCCCCCCATATCAACATGCTAATCAAAAGTTTAGGGCACCTGTAGGCATGAATTGGAATCCATTTTGCCTGAGCTGGCACCCTTACCTGCTGCAAGACCCGCCGGCTTTCACATATGCAGAAAAGGACCCCGGTGTCGTGTAAGGCTGCCCTAAATAACGGGCAGATCAAACTTCAAAAATGACCCAGAATATCCCTAATGAACGTCTCCACACCCAAGACATCCGAGCGCTAAAATGCAATTGGATTCCATTGCCGACCCGTCTCTCCATTGGTGAGATTTCCCCTTATCTCTGGGTCACCCAATGGGAACACAGACAGCAATAAAACCTTGCCAAATATCTAACCCCTCCACCGCTCAATAACTGGCTGGATCTAAAAACAGATTTGCGCAATACCTAACCCAACCACGGCTTTTGTTTCGGCATAGCATCCTCTGCAAAATAACAAAAAGAGTTTTTTGTTTTTTTAAAGGAAAAGCGTTCTGGAAAAGTGTCAGACTTCATGTGGTGATGCAAGCTTTGGCTTCAATGCTCATTTAATAAAGGCCAGCGACACATCTGATCGTGTGGTAAGACGCACATGATGCAGCAAACCATCGCATTTCATTCATTAGATGTTACAGACGCATTAATGGGGGACATATGTGACAGGATCTCCTGGTTGGGGGGCTTGTATGGGATTAACAAAGAAAATAAAAAGGCATCATTAATAATAGACATGAACACATTTGTTCCGGTACTTTCCAAGTAGGTGGCTGGAGCAGTGAAATCCTCGGCTCAGGAATGTGCAGAGAGCTCAAGAGTTAAAGTCCAACTCTCTTCATGTGAAACCCAACGTGTTGGGGGGGGGGG